AGGTTGCAGTAGAAGGCACATATTCTAAAGGTCCCATTCTTCCATGGTACAGGAAAGATGTCGGAGACCCAGTCTAGATGTTGAATATCATTTGACAAACCATGATTACATGTGTTTGTTGACTTTGCTCTCACTTGACCCCATTAATTTGAGCTTTAATCACCTTTGAGGTCGCTTGATCGGCTGAGAGCCCTAAATGATACTAACGCAATGCATGGCAATCTTGGGTCAAAGCCATGCAAGTCCATGTACTCATGCAGAAGAGATTTTAAGCCATGTCACTCCTTTTCTGTTGAGCCTAGAGGGATGTTTTTTCATCTTTCTTGACCTGATAGGTTGAGATGATATTGATAGAAAAGTTTCTAAAGTTATCACCAATACTGACATCAAATCATGTACTAAAGTATTAGATGAGTGACAGGGCACGGGAGGATACTCTAAGATTTTCATGAATAGGATCTCATGGGGTGCAACAAGGTACCTCAACCAATATCTAAATTGACTTTAGTAGTCCTCTAGCATCCCTTTTAGTATAGACGGCTTTGGGGCTGTTTGATGATCGTTACTTTAATTTAGTACTTGAGTCATCGCCAGATTATAACCCATAATTTCTATTATTTGCTTACCTTTGTGACTGTACTAAGTTAGTTGAGGTGCTTTCTCTTTTTTAGAGTTAGATTCCTCATGAGGTCTAGGAGTGTTAGGGTTGTGCTTCTAGCAGATAATGATGGATTAATGCTTTCATCTCGGGAGAATTATAAAAGTTGCATGGCACCAATCTTTAACAATACCATTTTTTGCTAATTGCATTTGAGCTGGTTATAATAATGAACAACCATTATTTTGTATGCGGGCTAACTCTCCGATAGTAGCTCCGTTCTTCACTTGATTCATTGATTTATATGCACTCTAGGTAAACACAAATGGTCACTGTATAGGTGTAACATTTTCATGCCAATTTTCTACAAAAATAAAACCAACTAAAATGGTAAAAGTAATTCTTCTTAAAATTTTAGTTGATAACTTGCTGTCGAACAATCTGTTGAGTTGTATTTGGGGCGTATGGAAACTACTCGCGTCACAATTCTTCTTATTTGGCACTACAGAGTTGTCAATCCCTTGTTGCTATGGGGGAGTGCATGCTCCGGAAGTTGAACCAGACTGCATATGTAGAGAAAGGGGATATAAGTATATATGACCTTTGCACTTTCATCACTATAAACATCAAATTATTGTTTATAATTATTCTATTTGGACCATATCCAAGGCACCTAACAACTTATATGTCAGAGGAACCGATATACTAAAAATTTGGGTACATGTGCATTTTATGTGTGTGTCAAATACTCGTGTGATATAAGATCTCATGATTAATTAATGAGGTGTTATAATAAGAACTCATGACACATCAAGCGTATAAGAGTTATCAACATTGATCATACCGTGCAAACATGAACATCATCACATCCACACAGCAGTCTTCCATTAAGCATGTCTGTTGCTTGAAATGCTCCTCCTCCCTCGCTTCTCTGCACATAGAAAAAATTTAATCTTAAAATTGCTACATATCCTATAAATTTAGTGAACATCCGTAGCAATTACAAAATCTAATGCAACTATGAATTTAATTTAATTGATGATCTATTAATTTAACTTAGTTGTTTTTGCCTAATGGCATCATAGGAAAAAAAAATTGCACACCTTGTAGAAATCAACGGCCACAAAATTAGCCCAACGGTTGCTGGCAGCACCAAAACAAGTATGAAGCATGTTTATGAGCTCTGCTGAGTTATGCTTGCATGTCAAGGCTTTTACAGGCACTGAATTGAAATAGTTTACCAAAACTAGTGGTTTGCTAGTGTCGTTAAGAGGGGCAGATTCAGCACGGTTAAAACATTCCCCACCTTTCATTCCACCATCTCCATCTAAATGGAAATTGAGTTATGAGAAAACTTGTATAAGTCTGTATGTTATATGTATATATGTATGTATAAATAACGTACTCAACAAAAAATTGGAAAGGAAAAAATGACAGAATAACAGTTCTTTATTGAAGAAGAGCGTTATCCAGTTGCTTACATTGGTTTTCAACCATGAAGTTCCATTGGTAGGCAATCCCTTCAGTGTATTGTTTAGATCTGATAGATGTGAAAACAACGAGGCGTTGATTCTTAGCAACCATATCACTTACCGATGGCCAATCCTGGCCATTTTGAGGCATACTCGAGAGAGGAAACCAGTATTTCAACAACCCCGATGCATTAAAGACATTTGTCAAACCATTTGGCGCCTGAACATAATCTTCTAATATCAATGTGACAATTTCAGATGGATTTAGCGATAGAAAGGCTTCAATTTCCTTCAACGTATCAATCGCCGGCTCCTGATATTATGGATCACAAGATATGAGCACCGATCTGATGTCCCAATTAATACAGTAATTGAAATACGTGATTTTATCTGTCTCTAATTTTTCAGTGACTAAATTAAGAGATATAGAGTAAATGGATTTATGTGAAAATTTGAAAAGTAGGACTAAATGACAAAGAAATAATGAACAATGCATATAGTTTTGCTAGTTTGTGTTAGGTTTCATGTTTATGAGACTATTGTCTAATCTAGTTTTGATGATTAACAAATAATTCCTAACATCGTGTGTTGAGTGTTTGCATTTGTTTTGTTAGGTAATCTACACAAATATCCTCTGGTCGAAGGTTGGTTGGACTTGCATCTACACGATCACATCCTTTTGGAGGTTGGAGGAAATAGGAATGAAGCTATGCATTTAAGTCAACACATCATCAAACTTTATTCCCGCTACCAAGATCGAGCTTCAATGAGAGATCATTAGCTTGGGTATATTTTTAGTTTAGGTGTTTACTTTATATGTCATGCTTAATGCTCAAATATATACACATACACATTGTTTTGTTATATGGCTTTCATTGGTCGTTTCACTTTGCAAAAAGATATGTTTAGCCATACAAATATTTTAAAAGATGAGTTTTAGCCATATAAATTATGTTTAGCCATACAAATATTTTAAAAGATGAGTTTTAGCCATATAAATATGAAACAAATACATATATTTGTATTCTTGCACTAAAAGATGAGTTTTAGCCATATAAATATGAAACAAATACATATATTTGTATTCTTGCACATATGTTTCGTATCTATCGCATTATTCATCATTTTGAGAAAATAACGTGTTTATCGTTTTGAGAAAATAACGTGTTTGTGGATTATTGACTTAGTTATACTATTTTACATCTTTTTATAAGTCTATAAATCAATTCAAAGTAATTTTGAAGCTTGTTTGAAAGAATTTCATCAAAAACCAAGTGTTTGACGATTTCGTATTATTGAACAGTTTACAAAATAAATAATATTTCATAAATGAGAAATGCAATTTGAGAAATTATTTTTCTAACATGTTCTATTATATGTTTATAAACATTTTCCTAAATTATATCATTTCTGTAGTTGATTTACTATGTTAAATTGATTTTACAAAATCAAGTGTTCAACAGTTTCGAAATCTGGAATATCTATTTGCAAATAGTGATTTCTCACACATTTGAAGTGATATTTCATAAATTCCTTCTCTAACATGTTTATCTATATGTATAGAAACTTTTCTCAAAATTTTACGATTTGTGGAGCTGATTTGTTATTTTTAATTGATTTTATAAACTCAGCTACGTAAAATTTTAGAATCTGCCAACTCAGGCCAACGGTCACCTTATCGGTCAACCGATGACGTCCTCAGTCGACTGATCAGGATTTTCCAGCCAACGGCTGGTTTTGGCTGCTGTGGTTTTTGGGCCATATATACCCCTCTTGCCTTGGTTCTTTTTCAGGTTTTTTAGAAGGTTTTTGCTAGTGTTTTGGGCCGTTTATTTCCAAGTTTAAAAGATCAAAAGTTTAGTTTGTTTATGTAAAGAAGTTTTCACAAAGTGAAGAACCTTTCAATTTCGGTTTTGAGGAGTTCAACCTCAATTCTCATCTATATCTCTTTGTGCCATTTTAGAGAAGTTTTTCTAACTCTTTAATCTATCTTGTTCTCATTTTGATTATCATATATATATTTGCTAGATTAAGTTGAGTTTAATTTTTAATATTCTCATTATTTACACACACACCCCTTGAGCTTTTAGTATTTCACATTAAGTATGATTTAGGTCGTGATGAGTGATTCATTGAGAGTGAGCTTAATTTCGTTCTCATTCTTGTTACAGAACAAATCCTTTGTATTTGAGCCTTATTGTTTGGAGAACACATTTTAATACACAATGACACTTAGAGAAGTGGTTGGTGAGAGACGGGGTCAATTCCAAGAGGAGTGGCGTTGGTTGTAAATCCTAGTAAGAGGTAGTAATTCCAAGCACTTGAGGAAGGTGACACGGGCTAGGCCAACACTTAGAGAAGTGTATTGTGTATTGACAATTGTGTGAGATTATAAACGTTATCGGTGAACGTTGAAAACCGATTGTGTAGTATTTTTGAGATAGTGGAGATTCTCCTCGAGGGTAAGGAGCGAAGACGTAGGTCATGGGTCGACCGAACTTCGTGATCATTTGCCTTGTGTTTGTGTTTGTTATTTGTGCATTATCTCTCTCATTCTTGTGTTCATGTTTATTTCGTCTATTGTTTAATTGCATGTCCTTGCATATTTCTTATTATATATCATATTTACTAGGATACTAGTTGAATAAGTTTTTATTTGTGCATTTTTTATTTGGTATTAATATCATATTTACTAGGGTATTTTTAGCTTGTAGTGAAAAGTTCATCTTGTTTGTACCAATTCCTTTTTTCCCTGAAATGAAATATCACGAAAGGAAGTCTTCATAATGTTGGTCTTGATAGTGGAGATCCAAACCTAGAATCAAAATCAACAAACACGTGAAAAATAAGCAAGACAGACTCCACCACATCCTGGTGTGGTGTCTGCCACACCCATGTGGCAGAGCGTGGCAGAATCTGCCCTGTGTACTATGGGTGTGTTGTTTAGCACACCCTGGTATGGCAGAATCTATCCTGTTTATCATGGGTGTGGTGCGCGCCACACCCGGGTGTAGCAGACTCGTTTTAAAATTCTAATCTGTTTGAGATTGTGTTTTGATATAAATAGAAACACGTCCTTCTAGGGTTTAGAAGAGAAAAAGAATACAAAAAAAGAGGGTTTTGAGGGCTCTTTGAGATCAAAAATCTTAGAGAGAGAGAGAGGCCAATTGCGAGCATTGTATTCTTCTTTAATTAATCGAAGAATTGTGTGGTGTGGCTCCCGAGGATGTAGGTACATTGCCAAACCTCTTAAATTTGGTGTGTTCTTTCTTGTTCTTATTTCTTGAAAGTTTTTATTTTTGATTTGTGGTGAATTTTTTTCTTGTTCAACTCTCAAACACAATATCCGGAAGGGTACGGATTCGATTTGATTGTTTCGAATCCCCAACAACTAGTATCAGAGCTTCGTTAAACAAATTTGTGAGAAAGAGAGCCATGGTAGAGTAAATCAAATCTAAGATTAAGAAGTTTGACGGTTCAGACTTCGCCTACTGGAAGTCACAGATGGAGGACTATCTGTACCAGAAGGACTAGTATCGCCCGTTGATAGGCAAGGATAAGGGACAGAAGAAAGAGGAGTCAGACGATGATTGGGAGATACTGGATAAGAAGACTCTATGGTAAATCTGGTTGTCGCTCGTCAAGACAGTCGCACACAACATATTAAAGGAGAAGACGATGGTAGGGCTTATGGAAGCGCTCGTGAAGATGTACGAGCAACGATCTGTAGCAAATAAGGTGCATCTCATCAAAACTCTTTTCAACCTCAAGATGGCAGAAGGACGGTCCTTCACGATACACCTCAGCGAGTTCAACATGATTGTTGATCAACTTATCTCCATGGACATCACATTTGATGATAAAGTGCAAGCCCTATTGATTCTATCGCAGTTATCGGATAGTTGGGTAGGTTGTCTGACGGCAATCACTAATTCAGTGGGGAAGGAGAAGTTGAAGCTGAGTGAGGTTGTTAGCTTGAGTCTATCCGAGGAGGTTAGAAGAAAATCGTCTGAATCAGAAGGTTCAGGTTTAACTCTAAGTTTCGAGTAGAGAGGCAGAAGCAAAAAAAAAGGGAACCAAAACAGGAATCGGTCAAAGTCGAGAAAGAGGTCAAACTCGAAGATTAGACCTATCAAAGAAAAGTGTTGGAACTACGCCTAGGAGGACCATATGTCTTCAGTCTATAAAAGTCCAAAGAAGGATGCTAGTGAGCAGGAGGCTCAAATCGTGCAGGATGCTTTGATCCTTGCTATGGACAGTGATTCAGATTCTTGGATCATCTACTCAGGAGCCTCTTTCCATGCCACTGCTAATAAGTAGATTCTTCAGAATTATGTAGTAGGGGACTTTGAAAAAGTATATTTAGGGGATAATGAGTCATATAATATTGTTGGAAAGGGTAACATGCAGATTCAGATGAATGGCTCTAAGTGGAACATAAAGAACATGAGACACGTACCGAAGTTGAAGAGAAATCTTATTTCGGTAGGACAACTTAGAGCAGAATGATACGTTTCGATATTCACCGGGGATTCATAGAGGATCTCAAACGGTACGATGGGTGTTGCCCGAGGCAACAAAACAAGAATACTCTACCTCACCTCATATGCGAGTGACGCCCTCACAATTGCAGCTGGCAAAGAGAGTACGTCTCTGTGACACAACAGGTTGAGACACATGAGCGAGAAGGGAATGAAAATTCTACATTTATAGTGAAAGCTAACCGGGATCGATTCCGTGGAAGTCGGGGTTTGTGAAGACTACATCTTTGGGAAGCAGAAGAGGGTTAGTTTCCAGAAGAGTGGAAGGCCGCCTAAGGCTTAGAAGATAGAGTTGATTTATACAGATGTATGGAGCCCAGCCAGTGTGTCTTCTTTTAACAGTTCGAGATACTATATCACCATTATCGACGATCACTCGAGGAAGATGTGTGTTTACTTTCCGAAGCACAAGTTAGAGGTGTTCGGAGTCTTCAAGAAGTGGAAGGCCATGGTGGAGAAGGAAACAGATCTGAAGGTGAAGTGTCTTAGATCAGATAATGGTGGAGAATACGAGCTGGAGGAGTTTGAGAGGTTCTGTGCCATGAATGAAATTCGCTTAGAGAGGACTACTCTAGGGACACAGTAACAGAACGGTATTACGGAGAGGATGAACAAAACCTTGACAGAGCGTGCCAGGAGCATGCGATTACATGCAGGTCTGCCTAAAACATTTTAGGCGGATGTGATGCATACGATAACTTACCTTATTAATCATGAGCCATCAATTCCATTGGATTTTGGGATTCCAAAAGAGGTTTGGAGTGGTAACAAGGTCAATCTGTCACACTTACGGGTATTTGGCTACGTGGCTTATGTTCACATCAGTGATCATGTCAGGGATAAGCTAGAAGCTAAGTCATAAAAGTGTACATTCATTGGGTACGATATTGAATGTACAATGATAGAGAAATTGCCAAGAATAACAGAAAGATCATCAGGAGCTAATACGTCATATTCAATGAGGATGTGATGTACAATGATAGAGAAATTGCCAAGAATAACCAAAGCAGTGGGAGCAGTACTTCGGATGCAGGTGGATCCGTGTACATAGATTTGGAGGAACTTCCAGATAGGAGTGATGATGTTTGTTCTGACCGAAGATTGGAGGAGGCTCTAGGTGTAGAAGCCACTACCCAGGGCATGAAGCATAGGAGGTCATCCATGGTACCCAAACCGAATCCTACATATCTTTTATCTCTTAATTACTTATTATTAATAGATAGCGGTGAACCGGAGTGCTATAAGGAGGCTATGCAAGTGAGTAATCTTAACAGTGGTATCATGCGATGCAGGAGGAGATGGATTCCCTACTCACTAACGAGACATGGGAATTAGCCCGGCTACCTGCACAAAAGAAAGACTTTCATAATAAATGGGTTTACCAAGTCAAGCAAGAGAGTGATAGAAGTAAGAGGTACAAAGACAAATTAGTTGTAAATGGGTTCCAGCAGCGGGAAGGAGTGGACTACACAGAGATATTTTTCCCTGTTGTAAAGCTCACAACCATCAGAGTGGTGTTGAGCTTGGTAGCTGCAGAAGACCTCTTCCTTGAGAAGTTAGATGTGAAGACTGTCTTTCTTCATGGTGACTTCGATGAAGAAATCTACATGAAGCAGCTTGTTGGCTTCATTGAAGAAGGAAATGAAGAGATGGTGTGCAAGCTCAAGAAGTGCTTATATGATTTGAAACAGGCTCCGAGACAGTGGTACAAGAAGTTTGATAACTTTATGCAGAATAATGGCTACAAAAGATGTAATTCAGATTATTATTGTTATTTCAAGAGGTTCGAGTCCAGCTTTATTATATTGTTATTATATGTTGATGACATGTTAGTATTAGGAGCGTGTTTAGAGGAAATAAACAAGTTGCAGAAGCAGCTAGCAAATGAGTTTGCAATGAAGGATCTGAGTACAGCGAAGTAGATTCTAGGGATGGGAATCAGTACGGATGAAGCTGAACGGACATTAAGGTCGAGCCAAGCTGAATATATTGGGAAGGTACTTTAGAGGTTTAATATACAGAATGCTAAGGTTGTTAGCACACCTCTTGGAAGCCATTTCAAGTTATCTAAGGAGCAATCGACTAAAAAACAAATGCAGAAAGAGAGCATATGAGCAGGGTGCCATATTCTTTGGCCATTAGGAGTCTCATGTACGCGATGGTTTGCACGAGGCCGGATATTACCCATGTAGTAGAAGTTGTGAGCAGGGTTACAAGCAATCCAGAGAAGCAACATTAGGAGGCCGTGAAGTGGATATTACGGTACCTGAAAGGGACAACGAACAAGCCACTATGTTTCAGGAGGAAGAAGTTGGTGCTGCAGAGATACGTGGATGCGGACTTCGTCGGTGATCATGATACAAGGCATAGCACCACAAAGTATGTTTATACTTTGACATCGAAAGCAGTGAGTTGGGTCTCACGTCTGCAGAAGATTGTAACTTTATCTGCAATCGAGGCTTAGTATGTCGTGGTGACTGAAGCAAGCAAGGAGATGATTTAGTTGGCTGGATGTTTGAAAGAGTTGGATCTGAAGCAAGGGAGAGGAGTTCTTTATTGTGATAGCCAGAGCACTATACACCTTGCCAAGAATCTAGTTTATCATGCCAGAACGAAGCACATCGAGGACAAGAAGTTACATTTAGAGAAGATTTTGGGGAGTCAAAATCTTACAAATATGTTGACGAAAACAATAACCATTGACAAACTGGAGTTGTGCGTAGCTTCAGTTGGTCTTCATGCGTAAGAGATGAAGGCGGACCCACACTAGGAGAATCGTCGGGATCGTCAGGTTGATGATGATTGAAGAATGGATTTTTCCAAGTAGGAGAAGATGCTTACGAAGAAGGCGGAGTTCGGGCGAGCTCATTGATGGTGGTTTAGTCTCCATGTGGGAGATTGTTGGTCTTAAGAGTGAAGATCCAAACCTAGAATCAAAATCAACAAACACGTAAAAAATAAGTAAGACAGACTCCACCACACCCTGGTGTGGTGTCTGCCACACCCATGTGGCAGGGGGTGGCAGGGTGCCTGCCACACCCATGTGGCAGGGTGTGGCAGAATCTGCCCTATGTGCCATGGGTGTGGTGTCTGCCATACATTGGTGTGACAGAATCTGTCATATTTGTCATAGGTGTGGTGCGCGTCACACCCGGGTGTGACAGACTCGTTTTAGAATTCTAATTTGTTTGGGATTGTGTTTTGATATAAATAGAAACACGTCCTTCTAGGGTTTAGAAGAGAAAAAGAAAACGAAAGAAAGAGGGTTTTGAGGGCTCTTTGAGATCAGAAATCTTAGAAAGAGAGAGAGGCCAATTACGAGCATTGTAATATTCTTTAATTAATCAAAGAATTGTGTGGTGTGGCTCCCGAGGACGTTGGCACGTTGCCGAACCTCGTTAAATCTGGTGTGTTCTTTATTGTTCTTATTTCTTGTAAGTTTTTATCTTTGATTTGTGGTGAATTTCTTTCTTGCTCAACTCTCAAACACAAGATCCGGAAGGGTACATATTCGATTCGATTGTTTCGAATCCCGAACACATAAGCCTCATGACTAATTCATCCTCGCTCTTGCCGCTTCTCAAGGCTTAGGATACTAACCAAGTAATAATTTTCTTCAGTTACAGTTATACTTTATGCATAGGGTTCAAGTAGTAAATTTGATGTCCACAATGATGCATGAAAATTTTTGATACGCACGGAAAATATACTTACAAATGCAGTTACATCATGACATTTCCCTCCACTTGAATGGCACAACCACACATCACCATCAAAGTCATAGGTGTCTAACATAAGCGCTCGGGCTCCATTCTATAAAAAAGGAAGTTAACTACATGATCCAATATAACCATAATCTACAGTTTCAGAAGTAAACTAGGAACTAAAATATATAAGTTTAGGATTATTTACATTTAACTGCTGAGTAACAGTGTCCTCTTGGTTGTAGAAGGTTACTCGTGGGATTCCAGTATGTGATGGCTCACCCTCGATAGCAAAAGAATTATGGGTAGTAAGATATGCATATTTGTTGAAAGGCAATGAGTTATTCTGGAGCAAAAGAAGAAGTCACATTTGTCAGCTAGCATCAAGTGGAAAGTTTCATTAAATCGTATAAATTTTTTAGCGGAATGCTACTAAAAAGATAATGTAGTAAATATGTTTTTTTTAATTTACACATGCTCCTAAGGGGACAAAATTTCCTTGAAGACTGATCGAGAAAACATTGGGTTTGTATATGTCTTAGCTGAAGGATTACAGAAAAAACAACTATAGAAATACTTGAAACATTTATTTGCTAAATTAGTAACTGAATATGTCCGTGTATTCTTCTAATAATCCTGATGTGCTCTGAGATCTAACGGTCGTACTTCTTCTTGAGTAAAAATCTATCATAATCAATTGGATTTAACAAATAAAAAAGTGTTCAGAAGCGCTAAAATTTGATAAACTCTGTGCTAGATAGTAAGAGATCTTTGCCCCATGTTTCTTTAAGTTGGGCATTTCTTTTTTGAGAAGTAGTCCACCTCCTGTATACTATATAACCATAATTAGTAGTAAAGCAGAAATGACTGAAATTTCAAATAACAGAAGCATCCTTTACTATTTATTACCATATGCATTAAGCTCTCAAAATTTTGAAGAAAAAGACCCACAAATTGAGATAAAGAATGAGCAAGAGATGGATAGAATTTTACCACCAGGTTGAATTGATCAGTGGTTGTAGACCGAATGCATCTCGACCCAGAGAACCCTTGCAAGCATGAAGAACAGAACAATCCAGACTCACAATCTCCATCAGATGAACATCCATCAAGAAGCTAATAAAACCACAATAAAACCAAATTGTGCTTAAACAGACAAAGTTTCCATAAAATTCTGTTTCTGATAGTGAAAACGAATTTCAAGGAAAAGAACAAGTACAGAGCTTTCCTGACCTTGCATGTTCCATTGGAACAGGCGGTTACAAAGCCGAGTAAAATCAATAGAGAAGTGATTCTGGGAATACCCATTTAGAGAAAAGTAAAGAAATTGAAAATTAATGTAGGAAAATATACCTTTTGAAATGAAAAGAGAAGGAAAGAGAGAGAAAGATATAGAGAGAAGAGAAAGAGGACGAGAAAAGGGAAATAGTCAAGGGACAGGTAAGAGCTAGGGGTGTGTTTCCATAATTGCAGAGGGTGTTTCTTGACAAATTGGATGATTTTTGAGGTTCCTTCCATTTTGGTCTTCGTCTGTATATTTATGAATACAGCAAAATCCAATGCTATATTCGATGCTTCTTCTCGTGTGCAAAGTGAGAATATTGTAGGAAAACCGGATGAATTTACCACTCGATAAAAAAAGGGGGGATGGCATATGTTGACATGACTTATAAATTGTAGACTATTTACAAATTCTCAATAACATATCCATTCATCCAGTTGCATATTTCATACGCGGTCATGAACAAGTTCATGCCAATGACTAATTAGCTTCAACTTTTTATTAGCTCTTAGGTACCATATGTTTATATATTTTTTTTAAATGCAGTGCAGTAGTTATCAGAGTGTTTATTTTCATGTATAGTTAATCCCTCCAATATGTAGCATATTATTGCCAATTCAAAAGAGTTTTTTTTTTTATTACAAGATGGCTGTTCCGGATAAATGGTTATAAATAAATCCAAACAACCAAAAAAGGGAGAGAGTGAGTTATTTCATTTACTTTGCGTAAAACCTTTTCCTACCTTTCTTTTTGGGTAATATAAATAACTTCGGACTATTTTCAGATAACCTATCATGACTCCCTTAAAAAAACAAAGGATTTTGGGCAAAACCCTTAACTTTAAGATTTTTCAAAAATCCTCTAAAAGTGTGAACCACAATTTTCACGCGAAAAAAACATTCTCGTCTTACATATTTTTTCCAACCATGCGGAAAAATTATAATTAAGAGGGTTTCCGATCAAATCTTAAAGTTAAAGGGATTCTACGATAACCCCTAAACTTAAGAGAATTTTTTAATATTTTGAAAATTATGGGACGTTATCTTATAATCATCCGAAGTTGGTGGGTTTTTCTGATATTTGGTCTTTCTTCTTTTTACTTTTATTTTGAAGTTTTTCCTTTTTGAGCTTTTTCGCCCTTTTGTATAAATGTTCCCTCTTTGAAAATAGAGCACTGGGTGTTCTAAGTCTGGCATAATTTTTTGTATTCATACCTCAAAGGGTCAAGGGCCTTAAGGCTAGTCATACACAGGATAAAAGTGAGAAGGGCAATTAATGAGGGCGTTTCCTGCAAATTATAAATGATCATCCTAATATACTTTTTTCTAGTTTTATTTGGACACACAGCGGATACGTGCCACAACGGCTGAAAAAGATTAATTCATATTCTGCCTTGCCCTCACCGAAACATGATTTCAACCATTTTGGACCTAGTTTGGCACCGCGTGCTTTGTTTTTAAGTCCGTCATTATTAAGTTGTTTGCGTCGATTATTCTCAGAGCAAAATTGTCTTCATTGGTAAGATGCTTACATGAGCAATCTCCTTATTTTCGTCATAAAAAACATCTCAAAAAGAAACGGAAAATTAGACACCTGACCTAGACTCTTTCGTTAATATTTTATGTACACATACTATTAATCCATATTTAAGACCATACACAAGCATCTAATGTCAATCATAATAGTACGTTTTCATAGTTTTGAGCACAAATAACCATTCCATTTTGTCATTGATTTGTGGTGTTGGATAGGAGATTCCTAATATGTTTCCTAATCTGTTTTGGTAACATGTTATTAGGATTCCTAATCTGTTTTGGAAACAGGTTATTGGGATTCCTAATCTGTTTTGGTAACATGATTCAAAATCTGTTTTGGTAACAGGTTATTAGGATTCCTAATCTGTTTTGTTTTTTATTTTAGAATTCCTAGTATGTTTTTGGTTTTAGAATTTCTATATATATGGAACGATTAGAAGAGAGAATTGAGCAGCGAATTGGGGATATTTGCAGCATAGAAAAGATGTATTTTATGAGCTATTGGTTAGAGTTTTTATTTGGAGAGAATTAGAGATTTGTTGGTGAGATTAATTGGTGAGTTCGAGTGATTTGTAATCTCAGTTTATACTCTTCTTCTCTATTAGTAAAAACTCTATCCCCTACTTGCCCCGTGGACGTAGACAACTTGCCGAACCACGTTAAAATTGGTTATTTGTGTTCGTGCCGTTATTTTGAATTGTTTGTGTCCTTTTCTCTCGACGATTGGTTTGGTTTCTCAAAGCACATCAGTTTTGTTTTGACTTCCGCTGCGGGCTATTTTGAGGAGTAGATCGTTTTGGATGCTCGTCTAGGGCTTCGTTTGGTGATAAATGTGAGATCTTTTTTGTAAAAACTCTATCTTTTTCAATTTTGGATCTATTCTTCGTTTGTTCCGCTTTGGTTTATTGGTGCTTTGAGAAAGATGGTCGAGAAAGAAGGAGTTATGGAGGGTGCTTCCGGCGTGAAGACCGTCCTAAGTTTGAATATCTACTCTATAAAAATAGATGTGGAGAAGTTTAATGGCACAAACAATTTTGGTCTTTGGAGATGTGAAGTCTTAGATGCGCTTAATGCGTAAAATTTGGAGGATACTTTGGAGTTGGATGGGAAATTGGACGACATTGAGGAGAAGGTTTGGAAGAAGATGAATCGAACGACATGTGGTGTGATTAGATCTTGTTTAACTCAAGATTTAAAATATGATGTGATCAATAAGACTTCGGCGAAGAAGATTTGAGAGATCCTAGAGGGCAAGTATTTGACGAAGAGTGTAGAAAACTAATTGTATTTGAAGAGAATGCTTTATCGCTTCTAATTGAAGAAAGGAACCTTCATTGGTGATCACATGAACCATTATATGAAGCTTTTTACGGATTTGGCGAATGTAGATGTGATGATTGAAGATAAGGACAAGGCGTTGTTATTATTGAGTTCCTTGCCCAACGAGGAATATGAGATATTCGTTCTTACTCTTATTAATGGGAAGACATCTCTTTCGTATAGTGAGGTCACTGCTGCACTTGTGAATATTCGTTCTTACTCTTATTAATGGGAAGACATCTCTTTCGTATAGTGAGGTCACTGCTGCACTTGTGAATTATCAGCTTCGAAAGAAAGACATCTCTTTCGTATAGTGAGGTCACTGCTGCACTTGTGAATTATCAGCTTCGAAAGAAGGATAAGAAGACTTCAGTTAAACCAGTAGCGGGGGCATTGGTTGCAAGAGCAAAGAGTCTAACCCGAAATAGGAGGACACAGTCTAGAGAAGCACATCCTGGAGTTCGTAGGAATCAGTGTGCCTTTTGCAAAGAAGATAGACATTGGAAGTCTGAATGCTCAAAGTTGAAAGGTCGAGACAGGAAGAATAAGGGGAAAGCTATTCAAGATTCAGAGGTGAATGTTATCAAGACTAGTGGTAAAAATTCAGATTCAGATTCTCCAGGCTATTCATTAGCATTACCGTCAGTTTGTGTTGCCAACTCTACAGAGTGGATGTTGGATTCGGGTGCTTCTTACCACATTTGCCTAAGGAGGGATTGGTTCTCCAGCTTTCAGGAGTTGGAAAGAGAGGATGTCGTGCTCATGGGTAATAATCATGAATGTCCTATTTGTGCTATCAGTACCATTTTATATTAGGATGTGTGATAGAGTGATTCAGGAGTTGGATGAAGTGAGGTTCGTTCCTTAGTTGAAGGAAAACATCATTTTACTTAGAGTTTTGGAGGCAGCAAGCTATAGGATGACCTTAGAGGATGCATGTTTGAAGGTCGTATTTAGGTTCATGATTGTGATAAAGAGCGTCAGGAGGAAGAATTTATACTATTTAATTGGGAGCACGGTGATTGGTAGAGAACTAACGACTTCTTTGGATTTGGCTAGACTGTGGCATTTGTTGAGGCTGATATATTTGATTGGTTATGTCGTGCATGGTTTGTTGAGAAGTGATTTGACCTACAGATTGAAGTCTTTTGAGTACATTGGTATGAGCAAGAAGACCGAGGTGGAGTTTGGCACTTCTATCCATCGATCAAGGGGTCTTTTAGGTGGTGTTCATTCAGGCATTTGAGGGCCTTCCAAGGAGGCATTGTTAGGAGGTAATAGGTATTTGGTTTTCGCAGTTAGGGACTATTCTAGGTATTGGTGGGTTGCAACAAAGTCCTGTTGGTTTGAAGTCCTAGAAGTCAACAACAGTTGGAGGAAGTGTATTGGTAGAAAGGTGATCCGTTGTTCTGATTTTGGTAGGGGTTCTTTTTTGCGTTTATGCCGAGCTCTCGGCATTTTGGGACACTTCAATAGAGAGGAAACATTGGGGTGATGAAATGAGATGATAGTTTTGATGGGTCGTTCCTTGCTGGAGGAGGATCGACATTTGATGTCGAGCATTAGTTTTGGTATTCGGGCTTTGACATGTTTGGGTTATCTTAGTCATAGGTTGTTGACTGCTGTGTTTGGAGATTTTGGATCTGGTGGAGCTGCTTCAGATTTTGGGTTGAGTCGGATGTTTGGTTGCCTAGCATTTGGTCACATCGAGGATATGAGATTTGATCCGATAGCACATTTGGGATTTAGAGGCTCGTTTGGTTATCAGTTAGGAGACTCTGATTTTGTTCTGAGCAGGTATGTCATATTTAACTCTCGGTAAATGGAGAATGTTGATCAGATCATTGGGATATCGCAGCAGGTGGAAGGTGATGCTACTCCACATTGGGTGGAGATTACACTACATACTCCATATCATTCTGCATCGTTTGAGATTCCAGCTAAGGTGCACAATTTGTGGATTATTTAGATGGATGCAGATGATGAGTTGGTTTTGGATTCGAGTGCAGCTGGTGGACATAGTTCGTATTTGGTCATTGCCATTGGTTCATCTCAGGTGGAGGTGTTTAGTTTGTTTCACTTTGGGGCCTTTGGGAGTTCTATCAGCCGTAGATTTGTTAATGTTGTTGGAGAAGTATTATGAACTCTTCTATTAGATTGAGGGTCTTTGGAGGCCATTTGGTGAACAACGCGAATGCTTGATTCTTTGGGCAAGAGGATACGTAGGCAGTCATTTATGATGCAGCCGG